TAATATAATATCTATAAAATGCTAAGATATTCCTTATATATTAGGTAGGTTTAGATATTATCTTATATATTAAATAATACTTCTAGGTATCATAGGTTTTTAATTATTATTTAATAATATATATAGACGCATATTTCTAGCCTATTAGTAGTATCTATATATTCCCTTATGGTTTAAATATACTATTCCTATAATATATTCTAATATTAGCTTCCTTATTTATTATAGAGCTATAGGTAATATTTTTCCTTTTATAAATAGTTATCTATCCTAGGGTTTTATTAGTTATAGATCTAGGCTATTACTAGTTATTATTAGGCCTTAGCTCTAGCGCTATAGTTAAGATCTTTATTATATCGCTTAATTTATCTTATTACTATAATAGTTTTAGTATTAGGGTCCTTATTAAGTTTATTAGCTAATTCTAGGAGTAATTCTTATCTTAACCTATCTATAAGGTATAGTTATTCTGCTTTAGGCGGCTTTTTTATAGCGTACTATAGTTTTAATTAAGGGTAATTATTATACTTAAATTATTCCTCTATAAGGTATATCTAGCTATATAGCATAGTAACTTCTCCTAGTTCTAAGCCGGTATTATTATAGCTAGCTCGGGCTATGCCGAGCGTCTTAGTTATTCGAAGGGCTATTTATAGTTCATTATTAGCTTATATAAATCTTACCTATTTCTAGCCTTCTAGTAGCTATTACTACTATCTAGGCTTATACCGCCTTTCCTAGATATCTCATTACTTCTTCTTATATTTATTAGCCTTATGCCCCTTCTTATAGTAATAATAGTATTTAATGCCCTAGGTTCCTTATTAGGTTATTCTAAGCTTTATAGGTCCTATATAGGTCCCATAGGATATATTAGTTAGTCGGGGTCGTCCCTAATTAGCATCGAATCAGGGTTTCTAGTAGTTTTCTTTACCATTACAAGGGCTCTAGAGTTTCTTCTAAGAGAACTATTAGTTATTAATCTTAATTACTCGACTAATATAGTCAACGAGGTTATTAGGCTAGTCTTCCTTATAGAGTTTAGCTTATATTTCTTTCTTAAGTCTATTAAAAAAAAAGGATATTAGGGGTTCTTAATCCTAGTTAAGCTTCGAGGCGAGCTAAAAGTATTTAGTGCTATATTCTAATATAGAGCGAGTTTATTAGAGTGCCTTAATTTCTCTTTCTACCTAGGCCTTTTTATCTATTATTCTAAAAGCTTATTAGAGCGCGGCTTTAAAGGTTTTAAAGCTAAAATAGAGGTTTATAGTCTAGGGCGAGTATTCATTAAGTAATTTAATAAGGTACTCCCTTATAGTAGGTTTAAACTAGGCTATAGCGTGCTTAGTAAGATACCTAGCGGCATACTAGACCTTATTAGATGCTATAGTAAATTAAGTAGGGTAATAGAGTATAAATACGCGTAGTTATATAAGAAATATTAATAATTTATACGCGGTATTATTAAACTTCTCTAGTTATTCTAGCTTTAGGATTTCTCTAATATCTTTGCCCTTTATAGCAGTAACTATTATATTATTAATATTCTAGATATTCTTATAATATTACTAGTTTTAGGCTTACTAAGTAATAGCTATGCGGTCAATAAGTCCTCTAAGTTCTTTTATTTCGGTAGTTATAGTAATAACCTAGATATAGAGTTATTTAACTTCTTTATCGTTACTATTTATTTCTTCGTTACTATTAGGGTTAGCTTAAGCTAATATAATAGGGGTAGGTAGGTAATTAATAGGTAGAACCTACTAGTGGTTATTACTAGGAGTAGCCTAAGTAGCTATTATATTTAATATTATTTAAGGTAACGCGAGTAATCCTCTAAATAAGAGCTATTAATATATAATAAGAGGATATTTCCTAAGGGATAAACCGGTTATACTAGGTTTATATTAGCAGAGGAAAATATTATATAGTCTTAAATAGGGTATAAGTTACGTCTAGTAATATACTTAAAGGTATTAAGTATAACTAAGTTATATTAATAGCTAAGGTAGCTATTATATAAGAGAGTATAATAAATATATTTTATATACTTAAAGTAGCTTATAGTTCGTGAGTTGCGGCTTATGGTAAGTTATAAGGCGTATCGTAAGTCTTAGTTAAGGCTTATAGTATATATTATTATTATTATTATAAGTCACCGAGTAATTAGCTATTCCTATGGGTTATACGTGACTCTAGTAGTTTGTCATGACTGGTGCCGTGACAGTAGGCTTATAGGAAAGTTAGTAGTAGAACCCCTTATCTTTTAGGGCTAATTTACTAGCAAAAGCTTATTAATCCGAGGGAGCTAATACTTAGTAAATTTAAGCCGCTCTTTCGCCTCGTCTTCTAATAGTGCGATATATCTTTTAGACCGCTATTTACGGCGCTAATAGCTCTATAACCGTCGCTAGAGGGTCTTCTTACTAATATTTAAATCGAGCTCTAGAATTAGGTCATTCTATATTAGGTACCGGTGCCGGTTAATAAAAGAATTAATCCTTATAATCTATATAGCTATGAGCTTTTTTAGCCGCCTTTTACGAGGCTTCGAGTGGTTATAGTGGTATTATTCTTAGCGCCGCTTTATACGATAGACCGTGGCCGGATCTATGCCGTAGTTATCCGCGATATCCCGATATGATTTACCCGCGTATATCTTAGCCACTATCGCAGATCTTTGCTCGGGAGTAAATTTATGGTTTCTTTAGCGATTTCTGCTTATTTCAGTGCTAAAATTACGTGTTTCAGGTGCTATTTTAGGTGGTTATTCTGGTATTGAGATTGAAGCCTATGTCGCGAAGTCGCATCGTGAAGCGGGGTCAGGGCGGGGCGTTATTAGACTTTTGGCACGTGATTTTAGCGTAGAATTCTTTTCCTATAGAAAAAAAACGTCGGTAGCTCAGCCGACGTTTTTCATAGGTGATAGGGGTCCTTGCTAAAAGTAAGTCCTCCACGTTAATATTAGCCTAGTGAGTCGGGGGAAAAGCGTGCTAAGCCATTTTATGCCACTGGGCAGTTTCCTTGTACGTAGAAAAGGGGGTCAGAGGCAGTGAGAGCTTCACCCTTGTCATCTTCTTTAGTAGTCATAACGAGAAAGGGGAGCCTTGGGCTTTCTTCCTTGAGGTAATCTTCATTGCTATCAATTGATTAATTGCCCTTATTATTTTCAATGATATTCAGTTCACGAGAAAGTGCGTGAAATCCCCCTTGCGAAACCTACGGAAAGAAGAATAAGCCGATTTCTTCTAGCTGTGGTTTGGGGTGTTCTGTTCCTCCAACAAACTAGCTATCCATATACAGCGCATTAGCTTTTACTGACCTCGCAGTTGTGGCGTAGCTAAAGTCTCGCCCCACAGTCTAGATTGTGCATTAGTCTGTCGGTGACGCCAGATAGGCTGGTTGCCCAAATCTAGCCGCTTCAGGTTCAAAGACAATGTCACATCAGCTGTCTGCTGGTGACAATGTAAATAATCGACTTCCGGGAAGTGCCGGAAGGTTATGGGACCGAGCTAGGCCTTTTAGAAGGTTAACGTCAGTCGTTGTTGGCCAGTGGCCTGTTGCTCAGGTTTGGTGTTAATAAGGTTGCGGCTTCAGGCACTAGGTTGTCTAGCTCAGGTCTCGATGAGCACCGATAAGCCCTCGGACCCTTAGTGGCCCAGCTGATCTCCACCCGGAAAGCCAATTGGCCGATTCGAAGCCTAGAATGGTTTGCTATGAACGCTTCGGCCCCTCAATATCGCAAATGCAACGGTCGGAGCTGAGGTGGTCCCAATCAGGTCGCAGAGCATGACTGCCGATGGTCCGTGTGAGGGCCGGCTCATCGCTGTTCCTGCCGGAAAATAAAGGATCTGACCTTCAGCCTTTGAGAAATGACGCCATTCTTGTTCTCCGTCAATCGACGGAGGCCGCTATCCCCGTCTCTGTGATGTTGGTTCTATTCAATATTGATCATCACGACGAGGTGCCGCCAGCCTGGGAGATCCGGGACCGGGGTTCCCCGGCCTGCCAGTTTTAGGAAGTCGTTTTTTTGCATCAGAAGGCTGTTCTAGTTTGGGCTTGGCACCTGTGTCGATGGCCCAATTCTCCCCATGTCGAGTCCATTTTGGAATCCGTTTCTACAGTAGGGCTTGTAAGGAGCCAGGTTGCATGTTAAATTCTTACCGTTATTGCTTAAGCTGCTCTACTCTTTCATGAGCGGAAACCAACCATTGATCCTGCCTCGACGGAAATGCACCGGGGAGCTTCCACAACGTTCAATAGTCTATGTTGCGAAGATACGCCTTACATCAGTCGGTAGAATTTGTCCGGGGAACTTGTCCGGGGAACGCCACTGGTCCTACTTAGTGCTAGACTCCGCTCCAGACACCTGAGGCCACCGAGAAGTAGGTGACTGCCCAGGCAACTTAGTCTCATGTTTTCCTTCTTTCACCACCAAGGTAGGGAACCTTGCTGTCTATTTTTCGTAGGGCGGGGGAACCCACGATCCGATCGGGGAACCGGCCGCTGGGAACGGCAGAAGAGCGGTGTGATGGAGGTTTTCAATATACGGCAACGGCGCACCAGTCTAAGGTATTCCTGCCTGAACGGCTGGCGTTGATGTCACAATTACAAGGAGGTAGTTGAGTTTTTGACCTCACCAAACTTCAGCCTCCCCGTCCCAACCGCCACCAATATCTAAATTTAAGCTGAAGCTCACAGGTGGGTCAAGAAAAACACCAATGGCCTGCAGCATCGCTCACGAATCGGACAATCCGGGTTCCTCAATTGTACATGATTGAGACAAGTGTACTTGATCAACCAGACAGAAGAGGGTCGTATTCAGTACTACATCAACTACTAGCCATTCGAAAGGAGTGAATTCACCCTCCTAAGGTCTTCAATAACAGCGTAAAGGAGTGTAAGAAATGAAAGTAGCCGCACCCTAGCCCTACGTCGCCGCACCGCCAAACCCGTCTTGATACGGAGACATCGTCTTCCCGACACCACGAACAAAGCTTTTACTTTCCCCCCTTGATGTTCCCCTTGTTGATGTTGATGTTGATGGTGACGGGCATGTTGAAGTCGATATCACCAATGCAAATTTGGTACTAGGCAACTTGTGAGTCATGGGATGGGGCTGAGAGGCCAAGTCACTTACACCGCCGTTATTGTTGCAGCAAATGACCCTTGAGGTGCAAACCTCTGAGTTCGAGCAGGTTTGAACTATGGAACGTCAGGTTTCCTGCGTGGCCAAAGAGTAATGGGAATACCTACCGCCATTGCCATCGGTGGTGCAGCAATATGGGGTTCCTGAAGAGCAGAGGTTTGTCTGTGTCGGGCAATCACTGCCTCCCCCCTGACCTTCTACAAGGGCGATCCCCAGTTAGACTGATCACCTGAATGTTTTCATCATCAACTTACTGCGCTTAACAGCTGGGAGTTTCGGGAAGGGGAAGTCCCCAAGAGCCGGAGCCCTAGGTTCGATGTCTCGAGTCTCAACACCTACGGTCGAGTCACTAATCGGAGACGCCATGGCGCCCTGCAGGAGGACGAGGCTGTAGAGGATAGTGGAAGCGTGCATAATTGCGATGTTTAGCGCGAGCGCAGTAGAGTGGGCAGAGCTAGTAGAGGATGGATGGAGGGCAGAAGATGGAGCTTCAGTAACGAGCGGGGTGGCGAGATCTAGAGTGAGCGAAATGTTGAAAAATGGATAGGACGGTGAAGAAGGCTGGTATTTGTGCAGAACTGTTCCCTTAGCCTCGTATTCGGTACTCGGTGGCAGAGAGCGACAAGCTGGTCAAAAGGTATATCAGCCCCCCTTGAGACGTGGAACATCTCCCACCGTCGCGCATGACCATATGTGACATAATTGCCCATCCTTGCTAGGTTTGAATGTTATCACGCTGAAGTATGTGGCTAGCTGGGACTACTCGCCGTTCCCTTCTAAATTTAAATTGTCACAGCCGTTTTCAGCTAAGATGCGCACATGCGTGGTGGTCTGAGGACATAGCAATGGCCCTGAAATCCTGGCCAATCGGGGCATCCCAGTGTGGTTGCCACTTTCTGCTTAAGTTTGACGCTCAGATATACGTATCTTGCTCAGAGTCTCATCGGAATATCTGTGCTATCATATGCAATCTCGACGCATGTCTCCCCACCTTATCTTCATGACTTTGGGTTCTTAGGTCTTCTGGTCTCGACGCACCTAGCGTGCTTGGGCTATTTTTGGTTACGCTTTAAAGTCTAGATAAATTCTCTACGTCTGAGTTACGTATTAATATATCCGTGCCGTTTTATGTAAATACTACGTAACTTTGTCTTAGTGACTTTGAGGGCTTGGGGTTATCGGTATCAAAGCAGTCAGAGCGTGCTCGGTTTCCACTACGTTCTCATATCCAGTGACCAGACATAGATCTTCAGCCGTCAGTTACAACGTAACATCCGTGCTGTTACATCCATTGTGCCCCCATCTCATTTTAACAACCTAAGCTCTTGGGCCTGTCGGCCTCGACTCTCGACCAGACGGGGCGAGCTTGGGCTAGTTACTATTGTATTGAAGTCTAATACCTGGATATACGCGTTCGGCTGGGAGGCGAATCGGACCATCCGCCCCGCTTCCCACCACAGACGTCGCAATAGGCCAGGCTTCCGGTCGCCCGGTCTATCGGCCTTGACGCACCTAGACCGCGCCTAGATTCTGCCTCTGTTCAGCCTCTTGCCATCTCCTCTAACTACTCGACGAGTTGTGGGAGGTTTTTAACTTTACCGGCCTCATAACTAACCTCCGGTAGCATTATAGAGATGTTTATGATGGTGTAAGGGCCGTAAAAGAGTTCAATAGCTTCGAGTTCTGGCTAAGAGAGGCTGAAAGAGGCACCTAGCCAGGACACGACAGCTAAGTTATTTGGGCACAAATGACAAGGACTCATTGGAGCTCCGAGGGAAGAAAGAGATATATAAAGGTGGTCTTCTTCCCCCTTCAACCATCCATCCTCATCACTCGCTCACTCTTCACAACTCAGCACAACAGACCCCAATCTGCTCTTCAATACTCTCTTTTTGAGATCTCAACACTTTTCAACCACCAACATGCAGCTCACCTCCATCGTCGCTCTTCTCGTCGCCGCCACCGGCGCTGTCGCTTCTCCCGGCCGTGCTCCTCCTCCCCCTCCCCCGAAGCCTCATCGTCCTGCTCCTCCCACTATCGGCCCTGTCACCCAGACCCAAAGCTGCGGAAACAGTGCTTCTGCTTACTGCTGTAACAATGTGGTTGACAGCAAGGGCTTGAGCTACTTCGAGTGCAAGAGCTCCACGGGCTCCTGCAACACTATTGCGATTTGCTGCCAGAACAACAACAACGGCGAGGACGTACGTGAACGGAAACCCCTCGGGCAATTTCTGGCCCTCATGCTATACTCTTAAAAAAAATTACGCTAACCAATCATTGTAGGGAAATGCCATCCAGAACTGCGGCCTGGGTAACAGCCAGGTTATCTGGCTGTAAACAGTCTTGCTGGAAGCCGAGGTCGATCATGGCGGCCCTCTAGAACTGTGGTGGGCAACGCATCAATAATGGTTATCGACATTCAGGTCCTTTTATAATGGACTAGAGGGGGTATCAGATTGATACGGGGTTTGGATAATGGTTCGGTTGTCTCTTTCTTCGGTTTGGGTGAGGGGATAGCTCTGGTCAGGGTAGCCTCGATCCTAACCACCCACTCTCCTTAAGAATTTTAAGAGGGTCTATTTTAGTCGTAGTTGGAGAAAATAACGAAAAATACAAGAGGTTATCATGCTTTTCTTTAATTTGCGGTGAAGGTAATCAACATTGTTAATTGCCAGTTTATAAACTCTAGAGTCCCTCGGTATACAAATTCAGTAGATATAGTATTAATACATATTACGCACCCTATCTTCATACTATGAAATCACTGCCACATTACTAGCCTTAGTAATAGACTACTAGTCCTAGGCTAGGTAACCTCTGACCTTAGATTGTATCTTCTCACCGAGGCTCTCATGGTAGTATATATTGTAATACTCAGTACTCGCAGGGAAGTCCTTACCGCCATCACTGGCTCTTAGGAAGCCCATACGCCTAGAAGCGCACCTCTTATCAATGCACTAGTAGTCATCAATATCAAATTCCTCCTAAAACTAAGCGTTATCTCTACCAACCTTAAAAGATAAGGCCTCTTTTATTTGACTATTATAGTCCTCTGGCCTAACGGCGCCATTCTACGTGTAGTACGAGCAAGTGATCCCCTCGGGAATCTCGTGAGGCTCGGCCGCGAGTCTAGCGCAAGAGGTCATTGAACCAGAGCCTTTGAGGATATACTGAAGAAAAGAGTTACCTGACAGCTGGCCGTTGGGCAGTGACGACAGGAAAAATGGACTAATAGGTTAGGCAATTAGAGGAGGTAGTAGACTAGAAGACAGCGCCAAAGATGTATATGAATCATGAATATGCAGTGGCTATTTAGTTCCAGAGTACAGGCCAGAGAGGGCTTCTTGTCCTCATAGTTTGCCCTCTCCCGTCAGGAGAAGCACAAACAAGGCGGAATGGATGTCAAGACACAACTATTCTCCTAGAAGTCAGTTAGGTCCGTGTCTTGATTGAAGAGACAGGGAGTCAACTGCAAAACAAAAAAACATTGCATGGAATCAGCCAAAAAATAACACGAAATGAACGCTGGTGATATACCCGAACCTTGTACTGCCTGCACCGACTCTCTAAGGCTAGAGGGATTATATATGTAGCTAAAACAGCCGTCAGAATCGTTGTAGTCTTCCTGGCTTTACAAGGTCATCCTCCAGCCGAGGACGACAGGGGCAAAAGCGAGGAGGCTTTCTATTCGCTTAGTTATCCCATTAAGGGCCGGGCTTCAACTATAACACAGAACACAATACAGGGTGACTACTATGCTGGTCGGGTGCCACTTGATAATCACTTCCGTGGTTTAGGATCTATTAGCTAGTAGAGTTAACCTCTACCAGAGATAAGTCTTTGACAAGAAGGAAAGATCCTCTAGGGATACCTAATACTTCGAGATAATCCAAAAGAACTCAATAAAGAAGAACTCATCACGCGGCTCGCCGAGGATAAGACCACACAGTGATCAGTAATCAATCTACAAGGAGCAGGGCCTTACTAAGGAGACTAGTATTAGAACGAAAATTCCTAACAAAGGGTAAGGCTAGTATAATACTAGCTATAAGTATGCCTATTATTAATAATGTAAGTAAGGATTAGGTTAGGAGAGTTGTAAATATCTTAGTTAAATTTAAGTAATAAGCTAGAAAATATAATAAAAGTTTATTAAAAATCCACTAACGTGGTTAATAAGTGAGTGGGTTAGATAAGTGAGTAAGTCAAAAATCTTAACCTCTCAGACTAAAATCGCAATAAAAATACCATAAACTATTTAATTAATTTAAACTACTCACTATATTCTTCCCTAGATGTCTTAATCACTACCTAACACGTTCTTATATTATGCCCGGGCTTATCGTATATACTATAGCGCCGAACGCCCGGTCCGACCGACCTTCCTCGACCACTACTTCTCGACGATTCCGCAATTATTTACGTATTAATATCTATCTAATTAATTACTTATGATGCTTCCTATATAGTTATTGTCCCTCCTTTCCGTAGTCTAGTCCTTTTTACCCTTCGGCGCTGGCTTAATATCTTATTTGCTTCCTAAATGTTTTAGAGCTTACTCCTCAATAAGGCAACTTCATATATAGCTGCCTTTGTTGCTTTAGTATTAGACTTTAAAGCTTTAATAATCGATTCTAGGGAGCTACTTTTATGCCTTTTGATTCGCTTTTTGAGGTATTTAGATTAATATTAGGCCTTAAGTAATATCTTTGGGGTCTTTAAGACCTAAGGGGTCAAGGGTTTAGCCTCCTCCTCGGGAGGCATCGGAGTCCGTAGCTGCATATTAAGCTTCGAGATTATATTTTCTGGGTCAAAGGGAGTAAGCCTAGCGCCTTTAAACCCTCCCCGGATATTACTTTTAGTAAAAGTAGCTTTAAAAGCGGCGTAAAATGCGGAAAAGAACTTAATCTTTGAAATATAGGTTATAGAGTATTTAATTAGATACTCTATTTATTAATTATATGTCTTTTTAAGTATTAAAAAGTACCTAATATTAAGAGGCTAAAGTAGGTAAGATATATAAGCCGGTATATAAAGAGTAATAATCTTATTCTCCTTATAATATCTCTTAAAATCAGCGGAGTAGTAGCTTTTATAACTATTAAGGATTAGAAGACGATAAGGACTAGTTAATTAGTTAGTTATAGACCGATTAAAGTGCTTTAGCTACTTAAGACCTAGTTAGTTATCTCTCTATCTATTTTGGCTAGTTATAATAACCTAATCGCCCGGGAGGTTATAATCTCGGTATTAATTCGCAAGGTAATATTAGCCTATATTAATAATAAACGGCGCGATTAATTAACCTTCTATATTAATTGCCTAAATAACTATAATCTATTCCCGATTTCTAGGCTATATTAATTTTAGTCTTCCGTGCCTTTCTAAACCTATAATAACTATTCCGGCTATTATAATACCTATTATAAAGCTAATCTCATCAAAGTTCTAGATATTATCTAATTAGATATTATACTTCGCGATTATATTCTATATAAGCCTAAATTAGCTATGAATAATAGATAGATCTTCGTATTTAGCTCTCTAGTAGTTATATTTACGAAATAAATACGTCTTTAGCTCTAATTATCGCTTTACGAAGTTATAAGCCTAGCGCTTACCGACGGGTAATACATCGCGGTTAGCTAATAGAGAATTAGCTATTTCTTCTATAAAACGCAATCGCGAGGGAAATCCTCGTGAATCTAGGTCTAGAATAAATTAGACTATTATCTATTCCTCTAGATTAGATAGTCTTCGTGACTTTAGGATAGTATTATATCGCGATTAAATGCTATAGTAGCGGCGACGTAAGGTCTTAAAGGGGACCTAGTATATAGTTACTGCGCGTCGGAGGCTTAGTTTTAGGTTATTTTAAAGGGCCTAAAGGGCAAGAAGGATTCTAGCCTTAGTATTTAAGCTTAATATCTTTTTTGGTAAGGAATTAATTAATTAAATGGAAATATTATAGGTTAAGGGATTTTTGACTTACTTACTTATCTGACCCACTTACTTATTAACCACGTTATAATAAAAGATAAGTTAAACCTTATACTAATACGTAGCTAGAAGTAGAGCTAGTCTGCTATTATATATTAAAGGCATTTTAATAGATATTTAATTATATCTTTATATTTACTTTTTTTATTATATTTTATAATTAATTTATCTCTAGACTAAACCGCGCTAAAAAGTTATTTATAAAATACCTTTTATATCCTATTATATATTATATTTAAGGGTTAGCCAACCTATAATTAATTTTAATAAGAGTTTAGCACGGCGCTATTACTTTCCTTATATTTACTATAACTCCGTTATATAAGAGCTCCCAACTGCACGTAACCCCTAGGTAAGCAACTAATTATAAAAGGAGCAACCACTCTATTTACTTTAAAACCTGGGAGCAACTTCACGATATCGCTCCTATTAAGAAGGAGCAACTTTTTAATATCACTCTTATATAAAGAGATATAGTAATATATATTATAAGCATATGCACCTAACTAGTATATGTACTAAAAATCCCTTAGTTATTACTAATGCTATTTAATTAAATAATTATTAATTAAAAATTATACCTTAACTCTATTCTAAATATTAAATGCTTTTTATACTTTAAGCGCTTTAAAATAACCTAAATTTAAGTCTCTAAGGCGCTATTAAGCTATACTAAGTTAACTATTAGGCCTTATATTACTAGTATAATAATATTTAATCTCTATATAATTAAATTCCTAAATTATATAAATTATCTAATCTAGAGGAATAGATTAATATTTAGTATATTCTTAATATCACGGCTATAATATAAGCTAGGCGGGGAAGTATAATAGAAATACTCTAACTAAGCAAGGGACCAAAGGGACTAAACCTCGCCCGCATTGGTCTAGGGACCGAATAGTAGAAATATTACTCTTACCCTAGACTAAACCTAGAGAATATTAGTCTAAAGATTAACTATAAGTATATAAGACGCGCTTATTATATTTTCTTATATAATAGCTACCTTAGCTATTAATATAACTTAGTTATATTTAATACCCTTAAGTATATTACTAGATATAATATTCTATTAACCTTTAAGACTATATAATATAATCTAGTACTAATATAAACCTATATAACTAGTTTATCCCTTAGGAAATATCCTCTTATTATATATTAATAGCTCTTATTTATTAGATTACTTATATTACCTTAAATAATATTAAATATAATAGCTACTTAGGCTACTCTTAGTAATAACTACTAATAGGTTCTACCTACTAATTATCTACTTACCCCTATTATACCTATTTAAGGTAACCTTAATAATAATAAAGAAATAAATAATA